AAATATAAGCCTAGATTATATAAAAGAACAGTTAACATTAATGGCAATCAACTCAAATCTCACCTATTTTTATCAGTTAAATTCTTGGTTTAGGCAAGCATAAGTGGGATGTGTGTTTATTTTATGTATTCATTTCCCCAACATAGTTTTTCTCCTCCACGGTCTAAAATCAAAGGTACTGAGAGAGCAAAGGGCTTATTTGCTTAGAGCACATGTCTTAGTGATCCAAAGATTAGGGTTGATCCTTAGCAGAAATGTTGATTATTTAGGTCCTCAGCTACTTTTCAAGGAGTTTTTTCCCCCAGAAGAGAATCTACTTGATGGGCAAATGGATTTGCCAAGAGATTCTCCTCTCCTTCCAAGACTTGCTTCGATTAAGTTTAGTTAATAACAAACTGCTAAAGGAGTCTTGGACTTAGACATATATCTTACCAACTAAGAGTTCTCTCAGTCATAACTCTTCAGACATAATAGCTCTAATAAAAAAAATAATCATTACTGAGTTGTGCTTCTTGCAAGAGATGATCAGCTAGACACATATATGTTTGGAAACACATCTGTAGTTTAAAGATGAAGGTAGTGGGATACTTGAGGTTGCAGTATTTACTTTGGGTTCTACTATGCCTCCAGGGAACCTATACAAAAAATTCACTTGATCTATACTTCACATGGGGTTAGTTATAACAGGCTTAAGGAAGACCAGTGATATACTTCCCTACATCAATATCCTAAAAGTTGTTCAGTATGCAGTGATGGATTACATGCTTATGAGGTTTTAAAAGAAGTACAGCATATGTTTTAAGCAAAAGAAGAACTAGCTTGTGGCTACCCTAAGGTCCCAACTAGCTCAATGATTCTCTGACTATTAATGGAACAGATTTGTCATTAATTCTTGGAGAAAACTATCAATCTACATTTTTCTAGAGAGAAGGCCATGCATATATCATGCTTTAAGTGTGATATGTCCATATGTATGGGACATTTCATTATAAATATTATTGTGATCTTATACAGGGCAAGTGTAAAGTCTATTTGCTTTTCAAGTAAGAAAATGTGTATTTGGAAAGCATGTACACATCATATACATTTACCCAGATATTGCTGGCAAAATTCATTATGCAGGAAACTTTTTTCTTTGCTCAAATACACAACAACAATCAAGTCATAAAACACAGAACCAATAGCCAATCAATAAAAAAATATGCCTGCCTTTGGGCCTAATTCAAGCAAGCCATTCATTGAGCTAATGTGATGGACCTGTCAAACCCAGTACAGCATTACAGACATTCTAGCAACATCAAGTGAACATGCAATGACAAATGACAATACACCCCTTCGCCATGCTTTGACTGGCTGTCTCACAAAAAATCTAATTTGATAGCTTTGCCAGTTTTCCTTAAATCACACTTGAAATACATAAGAAGTAACTGTTTGCTTGGGTGAGATTAGATACTTATCAAATGCTTCTTATATTCCAAGGAAAAGATATTTTATACGCCCCTTAAGATCTTCAACAAACCCTAAAATTTTATTATGCCAACCAGCCCTCTATTATATGTTAATCTCTGCCAAAACAGGACATCTTCATTCTTACAGACAAATTCTCAGAGCCATTAAGAATGCCCAAGGTCAGTATCATGTGATCTGTTAACTAAAGACTATTGTGGAGAATCTGTGAGGTGCTTATCTCAAGAGTCTTTTGAATAGTTCCAAGAAAATTGTAGTTCAATTTCTTCAAAGGCCCAGAATCTTTAATTTGATGAGGACTATGTGCTGATAAAAGGTAAAATTTTGCCACCGTGGGAAATGATAATCTTCAGCACAGATCTCTGCCTCTCAAGAAGTCACAGAGAGTGATGTATGATTACAGGGTAAATGCCACAGTTAATTTGTTAATAGTTCACATGATGGCGGGTGTCTGTCTTTATTCTACTATTAACCAGTAGATACTATCAAAGCCTTCTTCATTCCTTACCTCTCTAATGTTAAGAGATTTTTTAGAATTTTCTCTCCCACCCAGTTTGAGTCTCTTCTCTCTTAGTTGCTTCTCATTACTGATGTTCTGATGTTTTGCTGGACAAGGGTACCATTATACAGGGTGTCCCAAAAGTTTTAGTGTGTTTTTAAACTTTAATAGACTTTTAGGACATCTTGTATAACTAGACTAAGAGAAAATTCTAGAGTAGATGTTGCTAAATAACTTTGTGTGCTCAATCTAAATTGGTGAATTATTTTATTAATCTCACATTCCCCCCCCCAAATACATATTTTGTCCAAATAGGCCTCCCTTTCTCTATTCCTTTGCTAAGGATGGCTTTTAACAAAATGTACCCTTGCAATTTGTCACACATACACACATTTTACAAACCACACCATAAATAGCATTTTAAGAATGATCTTTTCATGGCAATTTAGGGTACCATCCATTGCATTTGCCTTGATGTTATATTTTCATGTGCTTGTAAGTATTATGTTAAAAAATAAGTTAAATTGGGATTTATGTTCAATATCAAAAGCAATCAATTAGACCAGATGTGCAAGACCTGCCTATTGTTTGAACATCAAAAAAGGACTGTTACACAGATAAGAGAATATTCCAGTAGTTTTTCCTGAACTAAAACTGCTGCACTAAAGTAGGAATTACATATTTAAGTTTTACCAATCTAAAATTAAGGGCCATTGCCCAGTGATATGTGTGGGCAATAAAAATATTTAAACCAAATAAGAAACTACTTTACACATAAATTCACAAATTCCTGTCCTTTATAAAACTTCAATGAAAACTTTAATTTGTAGGAGGTAAATGCAGTTTGAGGCATCCAAATTGTCAAATAATTCCATAAAAGAAAAACATTACATTATTTATTTTAAGATGTTTAAGAAGCTGTCATGGAAGAAAGCAATTAAATTATAGATTTATAGTTAACCTTATTCAACTGGGGGGAGATAAGGTCAAGTATACACTTATTCTGAGAACATGGATTAAAAACTCACAGAAATAAATACATTGAAGAATCTTATAATTATACAGAAGGCTGAAATTATTGTCATTATAATTACACACAATGTGAGTATTTGAAAATTTAGCATACTAGATATATTGTCATAAAGTAATTTAAGGTTTCAGTGCATTACTGATGATTGATAACATGAGAATTTTCTGTGTGCCAACTGTAATCTCACTGAATCTTTTCATTTATAGAGCTTTCCTCAGTTTGTCAATTTTACCATTGTCTTAATTAGCTGCGTTGACCCTGTCTGTCTTCTCATCCAGCATCAAAAAATACTGAAGACAGAAGTATATTTAAAATTTGATATTTTACCTTTGGCATATGATTTTTTTTAGCTTTATTCATTTAGAACTGCATCCTGACAACTGTTTGATTTCTTTGGAGGTCTCCTATAATCTTGAAAACTTTCTTGGGGGGAGGGGGGGTGAAAGAAGGAAAAAAGCCCAAACCAACAATACTATGCTCCAAGAGATAGTAAGATCTGAACTGTAGCTGCCTAAATGGCCTTAAAAAAAAGTTTGTTTTTGTGATTGCTAAAATATAGCTTTTAAGGATCAGGAACTTATTTGGCTTTATAAGATCACACAAGAATACTATAGCTGCAACATGCTAACAACAGACCTTTGTGAAAATGGAATGAAAACTACTGATTAAGCACACCACTGTTAACCTTATGGAGGAACTGAGAGACGACAGGCCAGGCATATAGAGCAGTGCCTGCTACTGATGTTACTGGTTCAGGAGTGTCATATAAAGTAACTTGCTTACCTGTCTGATAGATACAGCATGCCTCAGCCACACATGCAATTTTTATTTATTCATGAAACATTGTTTAATTAAAAAAAAAAGTCATTACCAGAAGAAGCACTCTTTATGGCAACTAAGCATGCAGAGCATTTTTAACATTCACAATGTGTCCTCAGAAAATGGAATCGACGAATTGCATTTAATTGAAATACAGTTTTCCAGGGGACCTGTTGTTATGGCAATGGATACAAAAATTACTACTGACTTCCTACTTACGGCTCTGACCCTACTGACCCTGCATTAACTCCTCAATCTCTCTCTCTCTCTCTTTTCCTCTCTCTCTCTCTTTTCCTCTCCCTCTCTCTCTCCTCCTCTCTCTTCCTCTCTCTTTCTCACACACACACACATGCACACACACACACACGCACACACATACACACACACACATCCTTTCTGTGTTGTGACACAATTCCTAGGACACTAGGATAGTCTCTAACTTAAGGTAAATTCTGACACATTCTTGTTCTGAATAATGTCTGGTCATGACCAAAACCAGCCTATTTTCTTTTGAATGCTACATATGCCCCCTCTTCACACCTTACACCCCTTCCCTGCCCCCTGCCCCAGATTGAGAGCTGAATCCTTTTGTTTGACTCCTAAATTTAAAATATATAGTGAAGGAAATCTTTGTCCTGATGCAAAAGGGGAAAGACATGCAAGGTAGGTCACTACCTGAATAATTGTCTCCCACTTTCTGCCTCAGAGTTAAACAAGTAACTATTACTATTAAGCTTTGTTATGTGACCTTTGACAAGACACTTAACTTTTCTGGGCCTAAATTTCCTCATCTGTAAAATGAGGAGGTCAGACAAGATGAGACTGATCTTGAAAGTGCCTTTCAACTCTGAGTCTATGAATCCATAAAATGATGTTGGTGGTAGACTATAAGGTAGTATTTATGTGTGTGTATGTGTGATATGTACTTGTGTGTAGTGTGTAGAGAGATCTGGAGAGTATGTTAAAGGGCTCAGACCATCTCTGCCTAATGAGTTATGGCAGAGACCTAGAATTTACCTGGTTAAAGCATTCATACTTCTCTTTTATAGTTCTATAATAACCGGTATCCATACAACTGAACTTTTCTCTACCATTCATGCAGCTTCGCCAAGATCGAGATATAATATCCTTTCCCATCAATTTCATAAATGTACAAGTCCTTATCAATAATAAGAGAGGACTTACCTGTCACTGTAGGCAGCCGCAGTGGCGGTGGCGGGTTGGGCATACCGGTAGGCAGCATAACCACCCTAAAAAAAAAAAAAAGTTTGACATGAGGAAGGCAAAAAGATCAAAAGCATTATTAGCTGACAGACACTGAAGCAATGCTCGAAGGACTATTACACAAATACTATTGTTCTAACTATAAGGTTAATTTAAACTAAATACATAGAGGTATAAGTAATAACCACACTGGACAGTTAAATAGTTTAGTATCAACCCCATTTGCACGTCAAGGTTTAAGCTTTAAATCTATCTATAGGAATATTCTTTGGATGCAAGTTTTCTATTGAACTTTAACATATGCATTTTTTATGGATGTTAATTATTCTTACATGTGAATACTAATACTGTTTAGTCAACATTTCTCAACATTCAGTATGGAAAGATTGTTTAAATTAATATTTTCAGCCAATGATAAGTCACACACCATGACATATTACTAGGATTCAGTCAGTGTATTTGTTTTATGTTGAAAATGTGATAAAGTCTTCTAATTTGTAAATAAAATCATTATTGTGAAGGAATGTGAAAATAATTAACATTCACTTGTATGTAACAGTAATTGCAGCTGTTCAATTAAGCCAAAAGGACAAGTGAATGTACATATTTGAAAGGAACTGTGAGCAGTGATGCATTGATTTATCAAACTGTGAAAACAGCAGAGGTTCTTGCTCAATAGACCATGGTGATACATCAGCCATTTCCAAGTGATCTTAGCACAATTAACAAATGGGACCTACTTTCCACAGATAACACAAAGACCACTCAGATTCTAACGATAATTCATCATCCCATAATTCTCTGAAATTGTGGGCTATGCCCCACACCTAACAAATAAGACTCACTGCTGGGATGACATAGCCATTGGCCAGGCCATACCCACAGTACTTAGGTCAGAGGGACTCTCATACTGAGTCAGGACAGGGGAGTCCAAATTAGCAGGTATTCAGTGGGGACTTCTTCTGGCTTTCAATTGCTGTATCAAATTGGGGACAGGTTAGTGAGAGATGAGGAGGCAGAAAGATGGAAAGTGCTCTAAGTAAAATCCTGCTATTTCTTCAGGGTATGTTAGTTCAACTTGGTTGGGGACCACATTCTAAACTAGAGTGTAATGGCAATTGCGATGCATTAATACCACCTTTGTAGTCCCTCAGGGCTGAACCAAGACAATCTTAAATTTCATGAGAAATGGTTTCTTTTTTCAAGCAGCTTTCCCTTCCTTCCCTTACCCCAAACTTTCTGTTTGGGTTAATTCATATATATACATATATATTTTTGTCTACTCATAGATATACTCAATACTTGGTTATCTTGAAAGAAGTCCCTTTTCTGGGGCATCTTTAAAATTGCTCCATTAAGTCATTTTGATAGGGGACCATTGGTACTTTGGGATAAAGATACCTGAAGTTTAAAAAAAAAAAGGAGGTTAAGAGAAAAGGTCCAAGAGACCACTATGTGACTGAAACAATTTGCCTTCCAATCAAGGATCAGAAACTGGAATAAAATTAGTTGATTAGTTTGTTCGAGGACTGGATCAAATATCATAAAACCAAAAGCACTTCTCATACTGGTAAAAAGTCAAATTTTCTGCCAAATGTCATATTACAGGATAGGGATACAAAGACTTAGAGTTCTTTATGCTGTTTCCCTTGTGCTGTTTCTCAGCTTTTATATTATACAACCAAGGACCAAGTACACAAGCGAATGTTTTGAAAGTTGGGTTAGGCCAAGAATTGACTAGTAGATTTCTGGGAGGCATTAACAATGAGATACATTTGAGATGTGAGCTTCTAAAATAAATTTTCTGGTAAAATTCTTTCACCAGTACTCTCATGGCTCAGAAATAGTGATTCAGTGAGTATCATAGCTCAGTAAATATTTTTGTGGTCCCACATCTCTCCAATAATACTTAGAATCTATGTGTCCCTTCCATCTAAGCTAGTAGGGATGTTTGTTAGTCAATAACTGTGACAAAGATGGGAGTGGTAGAAACTAATATCTTGAAAATGTCTGAAAATAATTCACATGGTCTGTGTTGGCATGTTCAGACTATACACAACATCTATGCCATTATATTTGTGGTCCTTCTGTCCAATGAATACAGCTCTTTGGAAATTTTTAATGGAGTCCTTCAGCCATATTTAATGAATGTGGTCATGCTAGGAGACATTTCTGGCTCTCCATAAGACAGAACAATGAACTGGAGCCTTTGTTTCTTAGAAGTCTATTCAAAGAATCTCTCACTTATAAGTCAAGGCAACAATTTATAAAAGTCCTAAAGAGATGATGGGTCTAAAATAATGGAAGTACATTTTGGTCTTGACTGTATATCTAGCTGATAATTGAAACATGGGAAAAAAAGGGGTAGGGGGAAAGATTAAGTGGCTAGGAATCTTGATGCCTGCATTCTGAGAAATTTTTTCTTTGAATTTTTTTCCTATGAAATTCCTATTAAGAGCATGACATATTTGTGCATTAACTCAGTGTACATGTGCACATGCTGTAAAATGATCAAAAAATTACAAATTACTTTAATTTGCTTCTCTAACAGGTGACTCTAATCAGTTTTATTGCCTCATATTTTGTAGCTCACTGAGCATAACCAGAGCTCTTTCAAGGTTCCATAGAATTGTCTAGCAGGGAGAGTTCCTAACTAACTACCCAGTAGCCAGGCTATTTTCATATAGAATTGGTTCCTCCAAATAAATGACATCTTTTGACAATTGTGAGGTTTTTTTGTTTTTTGTTTTTTTGGGGGGGGGCTATTATCACAATACAGGAAAACAATAGAATTCAGAGTTTAATTTTGCACTGTTGCTTATAACATTTATTTCTCAGATGCTGTGGAAGAAATATAAAATTCTATGTAAACAAATTTAGCTATTTTAAAGTGCTGTAGTATGAAATCCTGTATACAAACATCAAAAGCCAAGTTCCTCCATTTCTCACTGGAGAAATTGATAGCTAGGGGCAGCTAGGTGACGCAGTGGATGAAGCACCGGCTCTGAAGTCAGGAGGACCTGAGTTGAAATCTGGCCTCAGACCAAACACTTGTCACTTACTAGCTGTGTGACCCTGGGCAAGTCACTTAACCCCAATTGCCTAAAAAAAAAATAAAGAAAGAAAGAAAAAGAAAGAAATTGATAGCTAGAGTAAGACCACTTCCTAGTGGCCCATTTGTAAAATTAATTTCATAATACTTGAGTGAAGTGGTATCAAACTCAAAAAGAAATGGTTTCATGTGGGCCACATATTGACTTAGAAAATCACAAGTTAACATTATCTATGTCATACTGTAGTTTTATATATTCTGTCAGACATTTCCCAGTTACATTTTAATCTGGGTCCAGTGGCTCTCAGCCTTTTGCTATCTGCAGATGCAAATTTGACACCTTTGCTCTGGTGCCTTGGGTAAGTAATGGGAATTTTCTGGGTTATCTAGGGTGAGGCAAAGGAAATCTGAATCTGTTCTATAGATGGCTATTGGGTCCTAAAAACTATAGCATAGCTCAGTAGAAGCATTCTGTATTAAAAATTCAGTTGGACTTCATTTTATACATTAGGGGCCTTAGGGATAATGTGCTCCTTTATATGGCTCAAATTGCTATAAATCAATTTATATTCTAAATGTACCAGGGAGATCTTTCTATTTAAAAGTACTCTTAAGTGAATCCTTTTATGAAATGAAATATAGTTCTGCTAATTTATCTGTTTAATAACTTGAGGTTTTCACATACTGGGTTTTCTTAAGATGAGTAGGCAGAAGATGGGGGGAGGGAAGAAGGAGAAAGGGAGAGCTGTTGAAATCTTATAAGTTGAACTTAAGAATATGACATGCTTCTGCATGCCTGGACCCAAATTTTTAAAGTTAGTACTTTCTCTAGAACTTTAGAAATTCCTACGAACAAAAATGAATTTATTTAAGAATCTTTAACTTGAGCTATCATCAATTTTTAATGAAGATGGCTAGTAACTGGCAAAGAAAGACTAGTTTGAGTTGTCTTAAAATGCCTACTTTCACTTTCTTGGCTCTCTATTTTTATTATCTGGTTTCACTGAAGTTCAAGATGACAATGGCCAAAAGTTTTGCATCTTCAGGCAGCCAAACAATAATAGTTCCACTACCTCATTTCCCTTTATAAAATCAGTAACTTTAATAAAATTCATCAACCCAGGGAATTCCTTCGATGTGGTAAAGAATGTTGGGAAAATTAGAGCAATATGTGGACCCAGATTAGAATGATGCAGAGAGTGCTTGGCCCTACTGCATTAAAGCAAAAAAAAGCTAAGCTGACACTGAGGCTTAGTTTAGGTTACTGGTTTAATTATTTGGGTTGAATTTGGGTAATCCACTCACTATGGCAAACACCCAATCAATTCAGTTTAACAACCAATTTTATTCCCTGAATTGTTGAGCAGCTCCAATAAAATCACCAAGTCAACCCCTGGTTGTTGGACTAGACAAATATGGCAAATACAGCTTTAAGCTGGGCATTTCTTGGGAAGAAACAATTGATGTGGCTATTCTGTCTCTTCTGTAGATTTTAATGATCCCTCCTGATTGATGTGTCTAGTACTGACAGGTGATCTACCATTGGGTTGTTTAGTATCAGGTGTGAAGCCAGGTAAACTGACTGTAATGTCTGGGCTATGATTTGGGTCAGTATAACTATGGTCTAAATGGTAGAAGATAAATATAAATTTTTAGATATTAATTTAGGTTCTATAATTAATAAAAATCAAAACTGGAAAATGCCATTGCCTAGGTCCTTCCTCCTTTGCCTGTATGAAAAAAAAAAAAGGCCCCCGCCCCATAGTTTCTTTGTTAGTAGGATTTCACAGCAAATCCACAATCAAAGTGATGTTTTTCCATCAGTTGGGACTTCATACCTGCAGTAATTTATTGCCATACACAGGCTCTTGATACACTACTCTATAAGGAAACAGAAATGTAATGTTTTCAATGCAAAAAATGAAATAAATAAAAATGCTTAAGTCAGACAAAATCCCAGAGCAATTCATTTAC